TATATATACTTATATATACTTATATATATATATATATTTAACGTGCGTAATGGCATTTAATAATAAGAAGGACAAAAGTAAATATAATACAATATTAACAGCAATTAGAATATAAAATAGATAAGTATAATCTAGATATTATAATCTAAAAAGCTGCTCTAATTAAAATCATTAATACAGTTTTACCTTATACACTGAATTATTAAGTTACATTACAAAATAACATTCATTCTCTGTAATTTATAAAAGAGAGATTTCATCTTTCTATGCCGCGTTATATCGATCAACATACGGAAGTTAGTCATGCCGATTTCAAATTTAGGAATGGACGATAAAAATCAAGTGGAACAGTGCAGGCGAAAGACTCTCTATAAATATATCTACATTTCCGTTCCTAACGGTCAGACGAACACGATAAATATCGCAGCCGTGCCCTTGGCGGTAGTTGTACAGGATGTTTCAGAAAGGGTCGATAGACCGGGACATTTCAAGGACCAAGGTCGAGGTTCTACCATTGAGGATCGATACGCAATTGCGTGACGCCCACACAGTGACATTATTTGCTGATAAAGGGCGTGGCAGTTTTCTAAATTCGTATTTTATTTTTTTTATTTATCTTACTTATGCATTAATAAATGATCAATTAAGAAATAAATAACTATTATCTTGTTTGCTAGATAAAAATATTATTTTTATCATGCTTGAGAGATCATTTAAAAGCTAATTTTTAAAAATACAAATACTATATAAATACAAATACTATATACTTGTATCTGTAAAGTGCTCATTTCTATCAAAATGACTTAATATTATTGCAAGTTGCATTTACTGAGTTATTGATCATTGAGTATATATTAAATTTTAAAATAACTTAGTTTAAAATAACTAGTCCCGAATTCGACTGACATAAAAATTCAATTTGAATACATAGAATCACTTTATGCTCCACGAGAATCGTGGATTATTAAAAATGAAAAAAATTTCATATTAGATGTGCAAATCAGAGATAGTCATAACTTGTAAAGATGAAAGAGATTTGCTTATTTAACGGATTTCATGCGAAAAAGGACAAGCTTTGATGGAAAACAAAAGTGGAAAATGTCTACTTCGCAATTTCAACATTAATTTCCACGTGCTGAAGCACACGATGCCAACGGCCCGGATAAACGTCCGGCTAGGCGAGACAGTCGCTCTTTGATGCTTGTTTGGTTGCGGTTCTGCCCACCGTTTCTTTCTCTCGTTTAGGTTTCCATCTAAATATGCGACCAGTGGGAAACGTGCACTCTCGTAACAGATACTCTTGAAGGCCGAACCTGGTCATTTCCTCGAATCTTAACTAGTCGACTCCGCCATAGTGCAACGAATAAACAGTCACTAGTCGAGCGAGAAAAAACTCTGTGTCGAAATTTAATAAGAAACACACTACAAATCCAAGTGTTAAAAAAAAAATGACTTCAATATATGTATGTGATTTTCGTGTAAAAATGACATTACATTACATGTTTAAATTTTTGTATGCAGTGCAGTGTATTATTTTTATACGGAAAACTAATCAGATGCATATATATTAAAAATCACTTTTTACACATTTGGATTTATAAAAGCATGTATATTCATTTCTATAAATCTCACGGGATAAAAATAAAAATGTTACCTC